TCTCGAAAGTATAATATTTAGACGCTGAATTATTTAAAATATCAAATTAGAAGACGACACAAGAACAAGTAAAAGGAGGTAGTAGATGAGGATGGATAGAAGTGAAGTTATGCTATGAGAAGGAAGGAATTGTGCAGTTTGCGCAGAAATGCCGATAAATTGTAGATATTGTGTTGTGATTGAGTTCGGAACTGAACGGAGGGAATATAAGGATATGTTGTGCTGTGCTGCGAGTTCACTACATGTTGCATTTGCTTTGCTGAAGTATTTTAGCAAATTGCATTGATTTTGCGCTTGTTTGATGCAACGTGTGAAGAATAATGGGTGGGTGGATAGATGGGGATAGGTATATGACTGCATGCCACAGCAGGCAAGATACAGCAGTGGGTGCGATGCAGGGGACGATAAATATGCCAGTGGTCTAGAGCTCATCCTATTCGGTGCTACTGCTAAAGGGCAAGTATGCACTGCAGTCTCCTCTCGTTTTCAGCACCTCTTAAGTCAGCAGAAAATAGTGAGTGATAGTACTGATGGTAATGGTAGTAACAATAATAGGAGCATTAGTTAAATTTATGGTTTGTAGTGAAGCGACGGTTTGTTTTAGTTAGGCAAAGCAACTTATAAAGCAAGTAAACAGCTACGAGTGACACAGCAGTAAAGCGTGACATTTTAGCGTTGCATTACTCTTTAGTGTGCTTATTTTTAAAAATTCAAATTCAGACAAAAAGGAAGTTAGCAGCGCAGGCGCACGTTGTCATCTATCAGTACTGAATACATTGTGCTTATCGCTTCTACATGGCTTCATTACAATCATTAAGAACTTATGATAGTGGGGACAGTTCTGACAGGGATATGCTTGAAACGCCAAATTATGCTATTGTACGCATCCCGAATGGCAGCAACATCATCAATCTCTTCAGTGTACTGGCAAGTTTATATTGGTAATTGTGTATGCAATAAGAACAGATTTTTGAAAACTGAAAACTCAGAGCAAAATACCGCTCTCAATTAAAATTTCCGCCGTTTATCTTACTCTTGTTTTCATTTTACATAAACAGTCTTGAGGTCATATGTATAAATTTTTAAATAGTTCTTTCTTTCCCTTTTCTTTACTCTCTCCGTTTCTGAGTACTCTTCTGAATTCACAGTTTTTGCAAATATTTG